CGACACAGGCTAAAACAGGTCCCTTGCTATACTTTTTTACATAATTAATGTAATCTCTTCTTGCCCCAATGTTTTTAAAACAAAAATCAAAGAAACAGTGGCTGGAGCACATTATATCGCAGCATTTAGTGTACCTTTATTAGCAAAGCAGTCTGTTCGCCGACATATTCTATTAAGTGGAGATGTGCCAATGCCTAGAAGAAGGGGTATATGAAGAGCATTAGTTCAAAACCAAGAATATATGCACATTTAAAAAAAAAGCACATCTTTAAAATGAAAATAAGTGGACACAGGGAGGCCCGGGCTCTCATTTCTTATAAAAGATCTGACTCAAACACACCGTCTATAAACGCTTTGCTATCATATACGCACACTGAAGATTCATGGGAAGACAGTAGCAGAGGCAGGAGCTTCTCATTAATTTGTGTGAACGTCCATATTAAATGTACATTTGAATGGAAGGCCGTCTCTTTATTTTAAGATTGGTGTCTAGGAGAACTCTTCCCCAGTACACAGCAAAATGACACTTCCACAGCTCAGTGGTAGAGTGTGTGCTTAGCATGCACGAGGTCTTGGGTTCAATTTCCAGTACCTCCATTAAAATAAGTACATAAATAAACCTAATTACCCCCCCAAATAAAAAATAATAATACTTTTAAAATAAAAAAAAAAAGAACACAAGAAAACAAGCAACATGAATGAGGGCACCAACAACCAAGACAGATTAGACACACCCCCAAACATGCTGGAACGAGAATCCGCAGGTCCAGGATATAGTAGAGGAATTTTGTTTAAAGAAATTAGAGTTGAAGAGTGTAAAACTAACAATTAACATTGACCCTTGATGAGTTAAGGATGTAAGTTGTCATCTCTAGAGTAAACCACTAAAAGAGGATATAACTGCCAAAAATCAAGAAATCAAATTTTACATAATCCTCAATCAACTCAAATAAAGGAAGAAAAAAGATTGAAAATAAAAATATACAAGGTCAGACAAAAAGATGGCAGATTTAAACCCAAATGTATTAGTAATGTCATCAGAATTAAATAGAATAAATATATTACTAAAAAGATGAAGACTGTCATACTGGACTAAAAATTTGAATTTTATGCCCAAATACACACTTATTTGCAAAAGACACATCTAAAACATAAGGTGAGAAAATCTGAAAGTTAAAGGATAGAAAAATAAATGAAAGTTTTCTAACTTTCTGTTCCTCATTAAGAGTTAACAATTCTAAATTTATAC